CCAATTCGAGTCCTCACAATTCCCTAAGCGTAGTAAAAGCTCTGAAAACTCTTAAAAAGTACAAAAACCCTGTCTTTGTCTCGCTTTATTCGTTTTTGTGCACAGTCTACTCATCTAAGCAGCATGTTGTAGTCTGCTGGGTGCGAGGACACCGCGAAATTCAAGGCAGCGTTCTGGTGGAGCAGCTAGCTTGGTTCGCCAACAAAATTGATTCCAATACATTGATACCAATTTCTGCACTCGATTTGAAACCTTTTCTAAAACGAGAGCTCAGGGGCTATTGGCAGAGGACAGGAAAACACACACAGATAATAAATTGCATCTCATCAAGTCACAACTTGGTCATTGGCCGCCAGTATCAAAATCACTCCACACAGAAGTAATCCTTACAAGGTTAAGAATGGGACATGACATACAGACACAACACATTCATTTCTTTTGACAGGGGCGATCCACCCTTTGTATGATAAATGTGGAGAAGCACTCACCGTACTTCACATTCTAATCCAGTGTAAAGATCTAGACACGCTGAGAAGACAACGCTTTTCATTACCCTACTGATAACAGATACCACTTCATGCTGCTATGTTCGTCGGCAGGGAACCACTTTTTTCACAAAAATCGTTGTTAGCTTTTTCGAGAGAAGTTCAAACTTTTAATATCATCTACCTGGGCATACTGTAGCATGACCTCTCTAGAGAGGTCTCCGCTGCGGTGGCTACTCTCAACAAAGCACTTGCCTCACGGCCCTTGGACGTAAGGGTGTGAACGATGGAGGCACAAGTGCTAATGTCATACATGTGCACCATCGTTTTTATTATCACGAACTTTTGTCATTCATTAACACCACACACTTCACGGCATGATTTTATTACTTATATGCTTTTACCCTCCTTAGGGCGAGGAATTTTGAGGCCTTCATACAGCCGCTTATCACAATCGTTGTCCATATTTCTAAAAAGATATAACTGGTGCTCTTTGGCCATGAAATGGCCCTTGCTCCACAAAACATCAAACATCATCATCTTTCCTTCTCCCGTCCTGATGTGACAGCACCGCTCCTGGACGCAACTTATGATCTCGGGCTGCGAGAGTCGGCAAGTCACTTTGCCAGGAAGGTTCTCTTTTTCCTCGGACGGCGCATGGTAGGCATGTGTTTTCTTTTGTCCGCATCACCTTTGGGAATTGTCAGACTGTAGCCTGCCTGGGTGCCTAGGCATGCTCAGCGGGCCAACAGCTCTTCGACTTCATGTCAAGACAACAGTGGCCCACACCACTGTCATGGAGTTAAGACAGACAGCATGGAATAGTGGCCCATGACGAGTGCTACTTTTGCTTCTGTGCGCCTAGTGCTCGAGCATGGTCGTAACACGCGGAGCCGCACTTGCCCGAGGCCTACGCGTACGAGATCTGCCCTTACTCTAGCAACCAGGCCCAGTGGCCATCATGGGAGTGCCAGCATAGCCGCAAGGGACTTTTCCCAACCGCATGTCAGCAGTCGCCATTGCCGGCTGTGACGTGCTCGTGGTTTCCTCTTTTGGTGTGCGTCCGCGTGTGGGAGCCTATGTTTCCTGCGTTCAGGGAGTGGACGCTGTACAGTGTTTGGGGTGCCACCAAAAAGAATAAGTGCTTTTGTGTTTTTGTTACATTGAGCACTGTGTGTTTTATCGTGCCACGCTAAACACTTTGCTAATTGAGCGCATGTGGTGCGGTGTGCTTCACGTGAGCAGGCAACGGTAGACACTGCCCTGTGGCTCGCGAAGCCTAAACCCGCGATGATCTTTTTTACGGTGAGTGGCGAGGTTGCCATACTGGCGCCCAACACGGTATGAAAGGCTCATTAAACCTTTGATTTGACTTAGTTGAGTCAGCACACCATTGCGAATTAGGCTCGCTGTGTTATCCGCGTTAGGTCTTCTACATGTGAGTTTCGATTCGTTGTGTCATCGCAGATGCTATGCATTACAGCAGAACGCCATTAGAATCCAGCGGATATGAATCCAACATGCACACAATATTGCTGAGCGCTCTGCACTAACAGCAATACTAGCGGCACTGCGTGTCCACCTGGCTTTTGGAGCCTGTTGAACACCTCTTGAGAAAACGTATCTTTCTGCTGAGTCTCAAACGGCTCCCATCTGCTGAAAACAATTCCTCTACTAATGACAGTGCTGATGAGGTTCACGCTTTTGCCCTGAACCAACGTTTCTATTTTCGTTAACTCTAGTGTCTTGCTTTGAGTCCGTTTCAGATTAGTCTCTTGACTTGCCTCGTGTCGCACCGGAGCATGCACATGTTAATGCGTTAACCGTGGCATTGTTTCTACCCTTGCGGTAGTGTACAGTGAAGTCGTAACACTGCAGCAGCAATGCCCAATGAACCAGACGGCCACTTGGTTCGTTTAAGCGCCTCAACAATGTTAGCTCCATGCGGTCCCTCTCAATAACAAATGCAACTCCGCTGATGTAATCTTGCGTAGAGTGAACACTATTGTGAGCCACTACTTTTCAGTTACTGGGTAGTTCCTCTCCGCCAGTATAATGGCTCATGATCGCTATTGATCGGATGCCACTTCCTTGCTCTTGAAGCAAAATTGCTCCTAGACCCAGGTCGCTTGCGTCTGTTTGAACTTTTGAAAAGATCAACTCTGGTAGCTGCAGTTCAGCCATGTTAGCCAGCAATATTGTGAGGTGACACAGTGTGACCTCCAGCTCTTGGCCCGAAGGCAAACATTTATCATTCCTCGAGAGCTTCGTCAAAGGTGCCTGCACTGTTGCCCAGTCTGGAATCAATTGGCGATAGTGTCATAAGTAAATGGGCATGAGACACATGCCAAATGGTGTAATGCGGGGATGGGGTGTGAGGCCCTCTTTGCGATGGTGTGCATGCCCAGCACTCTCATGTACGGAATCGTTTGGAGGAAAGCTTGTGGCACGTGACCTGAGATGTGGTAGAAAGTACTTGAGAAAGCAACTGTGCTGCTCTGTGGAGTTCCGATCAGTGAAGACTAATGAAGTTAGCGTCACTACAGCGACGGAAGCAGTTGGTGCCCGTTTCTGGAAGCTGTCAGTGTGAGAAACCCAGGAAGTGGATATCAACCTCAGAAAACCGGAGTGAGGTGTCCCGAACTTGCCGCACTTCATCACAGAAGTTTCCAATGGGCCAACAGCTCTTTGACCTCATGTCAAGACGGCAGTGGCCCACACAACTGTCATGGAGCACCCTGTCATTAGTTGAGTCAAACAGCATGGAACAGCGGCCGGTGACGAGTTAGGCTTAACCTGGCTGGCCGAAGATGATGAAGACGACTGGGCATCGGGCAATGAGGACAAGTGGCTCATTGGGCGGAAGCAACCGACAACGACCTTAGGATCTTGCGGAAGATGGTGACAAACTTGACAAACCGTCATCGTGACGAATGCACGTAGTCGACGAGGTGGACCCTAAAAATGTTTGGTTAGCAAGACGGCGTATTGGCTATGTACTGGCGAAGGCTAGAGGCAAGCTTAAGCTGGAGCCCAGTCAGTTCTTGTTTGACTATGTGTCTAATGTTGCCTTAATTCTATGAGCTATTATTTTTGTAAATAGTTTCTAAAGAACGGACAGGAAGTTGATTTCCCTGTAATTTTTCAAGTCCTTGACGTTTTCTTTCTTATGGATTAAGAGGATGCTGGCGTTCTTCTAAGATTCTGGTACCCTTCCAGTCAAGAGACCACTTTGGTATATAAGGTGGCCAGTTCTTTTAACGCTGTTTCTTCACCATCTTTTCGGAGGTCTGTTGTTATCTTATTCCCACCAGTGACTTTGCATCCTTGCATTCCTTATAGGGCTTTCCTTACTTCTCTCGGTGGAACTCCTCTACCACCTCGTCTATCTTATTCATAATGGTTATGACATTGCCTTTCTTGTTTCTCAATGCATACATAACAAATTTACATAATGCCATTATAATAGACAGGAAGTATAACGTTTACCATGTGTTAAGAGAGAGAGAGAGAGAGAGATAGAGGGGAAGAGACGTCATCCATAAGGCCAAGAGATGGCACCACACCTGATGCTGTGATCATTGTTGTCCTGGGCAGTGGGTAGAAAGGGTAGGTATAAAGTGTGTTTGACAAGATGTGTTGTGCATGCTTCCTCCCTTAAATTGTGTTCGGCATGAGCACACACAGACATTCACCACTTTACATTTAAATGCACACATAAACTAAACGAAAAGAACATTTAGGAATTGTTTTTTCATTATTGGACACATTAATGGTATGCAATGGTGCATAGTGAAATGAAAATTCTTTGGTGACGTGCACTTCTGCCTCGTCTATGTATGTGACTGGGCCGAGAAGGGCTGGAGGCACGCGAGTCCTCCTCCATTCAATCCGGACGAAAAAAGCCTTTTTTTCACGCAAGAGGTGCGAAAACACGATTACTGAAGGAAGTCCACAATTGGCTGTGGAAAAATGAAAGCGTGTAAGTTTGGGCGTGTTGGTATTCCATTTCAGCATCTAGCACACTACTTTAGATAAGAAGCAAGTGATAGCCACCGAAGAAAAGCGCTATTAGAGTGTAGTGCTGATATAAAAAGTCTTCTAACCACAGTTGTGTCATTCAACATCTAATATGATGAACAGTGCAAGGTAAGAACTGGCTGAAACTTATCAGGAGATGATTTTGTTTGTCCCTTTTCGGTAAGTCATTCGTGGCTTGCAGGAGAGATCATTTACTTCCTTCATTAAATGGTGCACTTGCATATAGGTGCACAAGTTGTATTATTTTTTGTGTCATTTGCTTAGTGCTCTTGCTATGAAGGAGCAGTGCAAGTACTGGGGCTTTCCTCTTGCAGTTTCCGCAAGGGTGTCTGAGATGACCTGTATGACCGTTTTATACATCGCTGGCATATAGTGCTGGTCTTGTCAACCCTTTTGTTGTGGGCTAGATGCTGAAATGCTTTTCATAACATCAGTGGTCTTCTTTCTTAAGAAGGCTTGTTGTTTTTGCTGCAGGAAGCATGGGCTCCTTGTTTTCCCTCGACTCCACCCTGGGCCTCTTGACCCTTTCCCGGGAGCTGTCGCAGCAGACCGAGCCCGAATTTTTTCTCACCGTGCGTGCTGTAGACCACGGAGAACCACCCCTGAATGCCACATGTACGGTGCATGTAGTGGTCGTACCTGCCGACAATGCACCGCCTCACTTTGTGCCCGTCGAGCAGACCATAGAGGCAGCCGAAAATGAGCCAGCCGGAGTGTTCCTGCTGGCACTGAATGTGCACAGCAGCTCGTCAGTCTTTTTTCAGCTGGAAGGTGCTTCCACCCACTTTCGGTTGGACCCTGTGACCGGTGTGCTCACCACAGGGGAGGCGGCCCTAGACTTTGAGCGAGTGGCGGTGCACCGGCTCGTGGTGCGTGCAACTAACCTGGCTGGTGCCAGTGCCTTGGCTCAAGTGACTGTGCAGGTGCTGGACTGCAATGACCATGCGCCACGCTTCCGACAACTGTTGTACCGAGGCACCGTGAGCGAGGCTGCCCCTGCTGGCAGTGCGGTGCTCCAGGGAAGCCAGCCGCTAGTGGTGGCTGCCTACGATGAGGACACCGGCATCAATGCACAGCTAACCTTTTCCATTGTGGAGGCCTGGGCCCGCAGGCTGTTTCGTATCGACCCCAACACAGGTTGGTTGGCTTGTGTCAAGAGTGCAAAAAGACATGCCGTCTGTTTACAGAACTGCTGCAGTGCCTAGATTGTAAGGTACCTGTTTCTAGAAGTACCTTTTGCTGGGCTAGTTAGTACATCATTGTGAGGGAAAATATAGCACCACAAGAAAAAAAAAGCAGAGGAGAAGACCGTCATGCGATGCTCTTTTCCTGTGCTTCTTTCTTTATCTTGTGTTTCAAGCATATGAAATTTTCCCTCATTTCTGTTTCTAGTCTGACACCCAAGGGACAGGCTGGTACAAATTGTAAATTTTAGGATCGAAGTGAATAGCGATTTTTGTCGATTAATTCCTAATCGAACTTGAATAGTACTTATATTATAAAGAAAAATGGACATATATTCGATGCTGAATATAGCGAGCTTAAAGGGAACCCCAAAATAGTTTGATATATGGATAATTAGAATACAAATTCATTCAAGGCCTAAATTAAAGCATTTCAGGCTTTGGAAATCGTTACAAGTGCTAACATAACAATTCGCTTGTAGTATAATGAAGAATAAGGGGTGAACTGCAAGTTACTGCACCTTGTTTCACATGAAAATAATCTGTGAAGTTGTCTTCTTGCGAGCCGTAAAGTTCCAGTCATCCTCTATGTCATCAAAGCTTTTCAAATAAGCGAATTCAGCTCTTTCGGTCACAACAGCGTTGACTGACCCAGAACACTGAGGCAAGCTTTGTAGCATGGCAAAAGGTTGGTTAGCGACGGCAGCGGAGGCAGTGGCACATTCACAACCAACAATGTTCACAACCGCAGGGTTACACTTGCGCAGCACCGGCAACGGCAGCCATGACCTCTGAAACAATGTAGTCAGAAACGGCTACTTCGTCATTTGCACCGATGAAGTCGCTCCTTGTCCGAGACGGTGCCCGGAAGTGCTGAAAAGTTGCATAATTTACTGAGGCACTGTACGCTGTTGTCAGCGTTCATGACACGCCTGAAGTCATTACCTGGCCCACAAGCAAAGTTTACGACAATGTTTTACTTAACATCGCTCCAAGCACCACTCATACTTTTTATCGCTGCGTGCGGGTCAACGTTCAGTTCAACTTCAGAATTGAAATTTATCAGGAATGAGGCGAGAAGTACACTGAAAGACAATGACGAGCTCCCACCCTCAACTTGTTGCTGATATCGATGTCACTTGTGGCTTTGTAGTTGGCAATAACTGTTTTTGGCGGATTTGATGCGAAAAGCTAAATAGAGTGTAGCCTCAGAGACGGGCGTTTAATACCCAAAACTAAAAATGCGTCGCGAAGTTGTACATCTCAAAGGTTATGCTTTTTAGGCTCGTATGTCATTGTGCGCTAACAAGGAATGGAATGGGAACATTGCAATGAGATGGCCGTGTCACTCCGCATTCTTATTTTTATGTTTTCGGCAATCGGTCTTTTTGAAATACAGTGGACTCCGAATAAACTAAACTCACTCAAACAAACATGCATCATTAACGAAACTAAACAGGCTCATATAGCTGGATTTCTATGTGTTGCACAGTAAAATTCATCAATTAATCGAAACAGTGCTTATTGGTCACCTACGTTTAAATGGCACAAACTCTAAACACAGCATAGACTCACTCATGCCAAAGGTAGTCTCACAACCTTGGCAACACCTTCAGATCGAGACAAGCCAATCCAGTAGTCATTCTCGCTTGTGGCTGCGGGAGCAAAGTCCGCGACTCAATTGTGCATTAGGCCTATGTGTGCGGCGAAGTGCGGTGGATCACGGTGTTATTTCAGCCTGATGGAAAAGAAGCGGCCGCACCATATACTCTCGCTTGAAAAAAAGCTGCAAATTCTGCAGGAGCTCAATCTGAGCGGCCTGCCCAAGATGGAGGTGGCGAAAAAATACACCCAGAAATTGACGCTGACACTGATCTGGAAAGACGGTGAAAAGATTGAAGGCACTGTTAGGAATGGGACCTTCACATCTAAAGAGATGCGGATGTGGACGACGCCTTATGAACAGCTAGAAAAGTTCTTTTTTTGTGGCTCAAGCGTGCACGGAGTTCCGATTTGCCCATAAGCGGACCGATTCTCGAGCAGAAAGCTCAAGACATCGCCATGCAAATGGGTGTTCAGAACTTTATCCTAAGCGACGGATGGCTCAGCCGCTTCAAAACACGCCATGGCCTAGTTTTTAAAGAGTGGTGCAGTCAGCAGGGACATTTGCACCGACTGGCAAGAGGGGCGGTTTAACGAAATTTTGATGAGCTTTGAGCCACTAGACGTCTTCACTGTCGACGAGATGGGTCTTTTTTATAAGGTGCTTCCATCAAAGACTCTCACCTTCAAAGGCAAAGCCTGTAGTGGAGGAAAGCACAATAAAGATCGCATCACTGTGCTGGTGGGTGCAAACATGGCAGGAAATGAGAAATTGAAGCTGTTGGTAACAGGAAAATCAAGGCACCCACGTTGTTTCAAAGGCGTTTGACACCTTCCCGTTGTGTACCGTGAGAACGGAAAAGCGTGGATGACAATGGACATTTTCGAAAAACTTGCTTCGGGAGTAAGAGGCAAGATTTACGAGGCAAGACAGGAAGGTTGTCTTCATTGTGGATAATTGCCCAGATCATTGTCAGGTTCAAGTACTCCAAGCCATCACTCTGGAGTTCTTGCCAGCCAATGCAACCGCAGTGATCTAGCCAATAGATCAAGGGGCTATTCAGACTATTAAAGTTCATTACCGCAGACAATTGCTCCATCAAATGCTGCATAGAGCAGGCAGCGGGAAATGCTACAGCATAGATTTATTGGTATCCATCCACATTTTGGCTTGTTCCTGGGAGCAATTGAAGGCAACAACAATACACAGATGCTTTCACCATGCTGGCTTTTAAGCGCAAGGAAGGAGTACCTGATGAAGAAGAAAGCCCTGCTGATGCCGACATTGAGACAGTATTCAGTCAGGTCATACTTTCTGTAGTCCTGCAGCGTGAAACGCTGCAGGACTACAGATCAATTGATGAAAATGTTCGTACTTGTTGTGAAGAGACTGTCGAGGAAACGATTGCCGAAGTGCACGATGAATGTAATGACAATACTGCCAGTGCAGTGGGGCCACCAGAACAATCAGCTAAACAGGCTGTTGAACTTTTGCAGCGCTATTTTGAGCATGAGGCTTAGAATTTCTAGCTAGTTTGTCAGGCATGGGTGCGGACCTTATGAAAAAACAACTCAAGCTTGCCAAACAAACCACTCTTCACTCCTTTTTTTTTTCTCCTACTCATCCTCATGAGTAAGGTGAGGTTTGTGCAGTTTGAATAAAGGTCTTGGTTCACTGAATAAGTGTACTTTGCTTAAATGAAACTTTCGCTTAAGAGGAGTCGACTGTACACTGTGCCCCTGCGTAAAGACCTGCAGATCACGCATCAAACATACCGGTGCAATCACAAACATCAGGCCACGAACCATATCAGCGTGATGGAGTTCCACCGCCTTTTCGTCACCTGCACGCGAAAAGGAATCGGACCTTGTTACAATGCGGCCTAAAATTGATCAATATTTGTTAGGAAAAATGCACTTTCTGGGCTTTGGCGCGGCACAGCATTCAATATAGCGGTTGTCCTTCTGTGCGGAAGTTCGATATGCGGGTGCACTGGTCCCATACCTTTGCAAAGGAAATTTCAGGGGATTTCTCAACTGTTCAGTATAGCCAAAAATTTGATATATCTAGGATTGACTGTCAATTCTGGTTGATCGTCCTATCTTCTGCAAGCCGTCCACGGGCCACCCGCGCATGCCATAAAAGCTTTGTGACTATTTTTTCTCGCAATCGTTTAACCGCAACAGGGATATCTGCTTGTGATCTCGAGGGGCGCTCAAAAGGGTGCACTCACGGGGGAACGGAGAATGAAAGGACAGTTAGAGTAAAGAAAAAAGAAAGCTAAAAAAAGAAAGTAAGGGGGGGGTCGCAGGAAGCGACCAACGTCAGTTGGCACAGGCAGTTTGGTGACCTTCACTCGCTGTGTGCTTATGAGCTGCGACGTCTCTACACACGCACCGCTCGTGAACTCCGCTGTGGCGCACAGATAAGACGGGGGGACATGCCACGCACAGATAGAAAGAAAAGCCATAGGCACGCGGCAATGGGTGAAGGGGGGGAGGGAGTGAGCCGAGGTGATTAAGGGGGGTCGGCAAAGTAATAAAAAACGGAATAGATCCAATGGGTGAGGAGGTGTCAGGTATCGGTTAGCGGGACTGCAGCGGATGAATGTAGGGGGTGCGTTTATTAGGCGAGTGAAAAAAAAAATCCAAATTTTGATGACTGGTTGGGGGTGCATTTATTATGCGATTGCGTTAATTACGCGAGTAAATATCGTATTTGAATTTTTAGGACTGCCCGATTTTTTGAACATTTTTGTGGTTCTTTGAAGTTTCGAAAAATCGGTCACTGACTGTATATCAAGCTTTTAAACTTGAAATTGATGAACTGAATCAAGGGTAATATCTTCATTTGACCTTGAAATGAGGCTTCGTGACAGTGCAGATTTTTTTAAATAAATCTTTTCAAGGCTCAGCACCCTTTTACTGCTGTTCAAGCAGTTTTACAGAAGATTACATTCAAAATAATCTACATTTAAGTAGGTGCTTTCACGGCCTAGCATGCTTCCACGGCAGTTAAATCACCTCTGCAGCGTGGGGTCTCAAAATGGAGAACACCACGTTCTTAGACTGAACGGACACAGTAGACACGGTTGGAACGAACCAAACAACACACATATACTTAACTGCTTTTAGAACAATGATATCGCCAGCCAAATTGATATACCTCAATTGTGATCAACACGCTACAACAACCTTACACAATATTCCACACCTCTCAACAACCTAACAAACACAAGAACACACAAAAGGCGGCTTTGCCAACGCTTGATTCACCACAGGGGCCCACGGCAGACTGCCTGCGGTGCCGTCTACACAACCGTTCGCGCCAACTGCCACCTGCAAAAAAGG